CTTACCAGTTGCGCTCGAAGCGCACAGGCCAGGGCAGGCGGCCGCTGCCTGGCTGCAGTTTTGGCCTTCGAAGTGGAATTAACTACTATTTGCTTAAGAACCCCCCCCCCAAAAAAAAAAAAAGAAAGCCTATATTACCCTTAATAAGGTAGAACATGTGTAAGCAATTAGTAGTTAAGTGGATGCTGCGGCTTGTCCATGGGTCTTGGGGCCCGTCTTAGCTATCGAGCATGTCAGGGTCTCAGGGCTTTGGGTTTAGGCACGCGCTGGCGTAGGGAGATGGCGCTTGCTTGGCTGCACGGCAACATTGTGCCCAGTCGTTTTCAAGCACCACTGAGGAGCTTGATGCAATGCGCACTGCCCCCCCTCCATCCGAGGCTTCATCGCTGAAGCCACTTAGTTGCATGTCGGGTGTCGCATGGATCTTGGGAACTAAGCCCATTCAGCAAGGCTCCACGAAGTTCAAAGACACGTCATGGGGGGGCTCGCTCGAGCCTTCAGCGCTGTAGAGAGAAGCTTATACAGAGCTCGAGGTGTAGATGTTGCCGCCTAGGCCAGCCAAACCCAGAGTAGCTTGCATCACTGAAGTCGGTCGAAACCTGAGTCTGAGAACCAACGCCTGAAAGTTGTCCACACTCAAACACTCAAACACTCAAGGGCGGAGCTGAATTCGGCTCCCTGAACTACTGGTGGGGCAAGCGCCGTGCCCGCCCAGCACCACACGAGGGTGTGGACTTCTGCGAGTTCCAGGCGGGACGATGTGGTCGTGGAATTTTATCGCTATTATTATACTATGATGATTATTATTGTTATTATTATTTGCCCCTCTTCAGTCCTCAGCAAGAGGGTTTCGCACTGTTGAGCGACTAGCTGCATGACACAGCAGACAAGTGCGTGAAGCTGTACGGCATCTCGTTGACCGGGTTGCGAGTCTAGCATAGAATTTTCAGGCTTCAGGAGGTCTAGGAAGAGACGGTGTGGGCCCTGCAACGATCCAGGAGTCATTTTGAGTCCTCTAGTCTCCATGCAGAGACTTGGATCAGTCGGGAGTCCAGTGTTTCGGATAGCTCTTTTCCTTTCTGACGCAGGGTCTCCAACAATAAAGAGTTTGCATACCTAGGCACTTAGGCATACTTGAGACTCGTGTGGCAGAACTTTAGCCGACTTGTTGGGGGTGTTACAGTGCCTTAGAGATGTTCAAATTTTCCAGTGCCTCCTGAAGATCATCCACTTATCCTCTGAATCTCGCACCTTCGCTTGCAGGACGATGACTCTGGCACAAAGAGGCCACGCAGAGAGGGGAGTTGGCACACTTGCCTGTAGCTTGGGGGGTGTTTCATGCACGTGGGCACACGAGGCTCACCCTAAACCCTAAACCCTAAACCCTGACAAGCATGCATTTCTTAATTCGAGACTTTGAGCCCCTGCATACGCCGATAATTCGTAATTTGCAGCTTTGAGCCTGGAGATCGTTTAATTCGTAATTTGCAGCTTTGAGCCTGGAGATCGTTCTCCCAAGCCTCGTCTCTTAATTCGTACTTCCACCCTGAATTCATCACTCCTTCCCGAATTAGGAATTTGTGGCCAGACGTGCTGGAACCTTGCGTTTTTGGGTCAACCGGGTTAGGCTTTCTCTTTGTTTCTCTGGTAAAGTAGCACGATTGGTGAGTCCGGTAGGCACTGGTAGCAGCTCGACAGGCGTGAATGGCTTGTAGCAACCGGCTTGTTTTTTAGGGGTTGAGCACGGGGCTTAGACTGGTGGCCTGAGGCATTCACGCTAATTGCAGTCGGCTCGGCAGGGGTGTCAGGCGAGGGTACGGTTTCGTTAGGCTTGGGTGGCTGGTTGGTAGCCTGATACTGCTCCCTGAGCCGGCAGATGACTGACTCAAGCAGACAGACGAAAGCGTGGCAACTGTCCATGTCCTTCGCTTTGGTGGTGAGGAATTTTTCTGCCGGGTGCACGTCACTCCAACTAGTGATGTGAAGACCGGGCACAGCACAGCACAGTGTGGTGTGGAATCTGATTGGCCAGGTCCGGGAAACCCCCCGTTTAGCCCTTGCCATCTCTTGTTTTGAATACAACAAACAACAAACAACCTGGTCACGCGGCTTCCATTCCGTGAGACATGTCCGCTGACCTGTACACAGATGGTCAGGGAGACATGAAGGGACATGGAACCTGGTCGACTGTCTTGGGTTGGGGGTGTGTAGCTTGACTTGGTTCTTTGTGTTTAAGGGAGCAGAGGCAGTCGTTCCAGGGGAATGATCTGATTCGCCGACTTGTACTCAGAAGCAGCCCTGCGACGCGGATTCGCCCCAGCTGTGCAGGAGGGAAAAAAAACCCTAAACCCTAATACATGGTTTTCCTGGCGAGCCTTGCCACAGTTCCAAGTTTACAGAGCCAGCCATGGGTCACATGTGGCAAAAGTTAAGCACCCACGGCTTTTCTGGGCGTAAGCAGATTGACCAACAGTTCCCGTTCCCGAACGTGTGCCACAGGATTTGTCCTTCTCGGATTCTATTCTTCCCTTTAGCCTGAAAATGTCGCACGCAGTGATAATGTTCGTGCCCTTGCGAAGCAAGACCCTCGGGGATGGCGCGGCAGAGAGAGAGAGAGAGAGTGATAATGCTGGCTACTTGTAAAATTCGTGTCCGCTTGTTGCGCATGCTTCAATATCTCGGGATTTCCAGGGCAGTTTTCAGGGACAAAGCTTTTAGGTTTGGGGTCTGGCATGTATGCGTGGGCAATGTTTTCTTGCTGACACTCACTGCGTCTCAGCTACTTAAGAGTGTCCATACAGCTGCGCAATTGAAAGCCGTGCGAGCACGGCAAGCGCGAGAAGATTAGGTTCATCTGTAGTTCAGACTGTCCAGCGCAAAACTGTGAGCTGAAGTAGATGGCTTAGTTTGCTTCGTCTTCAGCATAGGTTTTCTGAGTATATTTTGGCCTCGCCAAGACGTAGACAGTTGTTTGCAGTATATGCCCCTGCTTTCCATGTGACTGGAGCAAGAGCAGGAACGCTTGGAATGCTCTTCGTTGCAATCTGTGTGGTTTGACTGGCAGAGTATTCTGAGAAAGCCGTTCCAAACCCCGAAGCAGCCCTTTTCTCGAGAGGCGGATTGATCCTGGATTTCCAGTGTCGGCCGTTGCCGACGGACAGGCCTGGACGGCAGGGGGGTTGGTAGATGGCGGGTTCAGCAGTTGGAAGTTCAAGGGAGCTAAGCATTTAAGCATGAGCGATACTGGAGTCCCAGTACGTTTATGGGATGAGGTGTGGCCATGTCGATTCTGAAACGCTCGATGCGCATGGGCCCCAATACTGATGATTAGCGGTAGTTGGTCGCTCCAAGCGACACTGCCGAAACACGTCTTCCAGATATCTTCTCCAAACTGACTTCACAATAACCACTTCCAGCATCCCCACCCTGCCCCAAAGTGTGCATTTGCTGGGCATGCCCATTCTTCTAAGACTAGAAGCTCCGAGGAGGAAAAGCAGATTCGACGGGTCTTGTGTCAGAACGCATCAAGCTCCATCCACTTTTCTTGGATGGAAGTTCCTCGGTTCAGCTTGTCTTTGTAGCATGACATGATCATACACCAGGCGCAGCCTTTATGTTGGTGAAGGAATAGCCTGTACAGGGTTTTCTCCCAAACGTGGTCTTGCGTTGCGTACGCTTAATAAGGGTAAGGGTAAGGGTAAGGCGAAGGCTGTGCTTGGTTACAAAGACAAGCACTGCCTAGGTTTCTAGTCAAGAAAAGTGGATTGATCTTGTTGTATGGCGACGCGCGACGCAAGACAAGACGATTCGGCTGTTTTGCCGCGCCATTTCCAGTCTTGGTAGAGTGGGTATGCCCAGCTACACTGTGAGGCCCCTTAGTTGCAAAAAAGTTAAAGTACTTATATGTAATTTAGAGCACTTGCTAAGTTAGGTAGCCAACTGATGAGTTGGTTTATAAGTTACAAAATGTTGTTTTTGTAGTCATTAAAAAAGTCATCATGCAGAGCCCATGTCTTAAAAGAACAGGTTCTTACCGACAATGGCCGAAACAGCTCGCAAGTCGCTCTTTTCCCCTCCATTCTGCCTGTGTAACAGCTTAGCTGCCGGGATTTGTTGTGGCTGAGACCGGCTGCAGGTCATTAAAGATACAACGCTTTTAGCTCGCTTACTTATTTCCATCTCCTATGGTCTGCTGATGCGAGTTTGAGATGTGTATCAGCTGTGTCCGGGATGTGTCCGGATGTGTCCCGGATGTGGCTTTGGCATGTGTCCGCATCCTTCTGTTTTGGGGTGTCCCGAATGTGTCCGGGATGTGTCCGGTGTGTCCGCCCCATTGTGTGGGAGTGTGTCCGGTGTTGTCCGATGGGTTCCCCTCTTCTGGCCCATGTGTCCGCTCGTGTCCCGGATGTGTCCCGAATGTGTACCGAACATTCGACCGTTTCTCCAGCTCGCGTCAGCAGAGGTTCTGCTTCGGGGTCTCGGGCCAGAAAACTAGTCAAAGTTGTCCAGTCTTGAAGGGCCGCGCGTGTCGCCATGGCAAAGAGCAAAAAAGGGAGTCAACGGGGTCACAAGCCAGACGCTTCGGATTTCGCAAAAACGTTCCCGGAACATCAGCTGTGGACAAAAACCTTAACAAACTTTCGTTCCGACCCTAGACCTTGCAAAGTCCTAGATTTGACAATCACAATCAATGGATGTGATGAAACACTGCTTTTCAAACTAACTTGTATAAGTTACTTGTAAAGAAAAGGTACAAAGCACTTATAACTAACTCATACCAGATGCGCCATCTTTGGAGGGCTGCGGAGATGGACGTTTGAGTGCACAGACGCTAAGCGGGCGGCAAATAAACTTGTATCATCTTGAATAGATAGTTTATAACTAAACCATGAACTTGACAACTTATAAGTTATGTTAGGAAAACTATACATTGATTTATATAGACGCGAGAAATCAATTTAGAACTGAGGGGCCCCACACTGTAGTTGACATTTTGGGATATGGGGGTGCTCGCAGTGACAAATTTTCGGGACAATCGCCGGCCTGGCCTGCGTCGGCAGAGAAGGATGTGCTTGTTTCGTGCCAGGTGGTGGCAATTTTCGACGACTTCATGGCACAAACCGTAGTTATGACGCACCAGGATGCTTGGACAGACGATGGTCCAAGCTTGTTTCGCTTCGCCCTGTGTCTGTACTTGTGCCTTTCGATTGACACGCACCCTGAACGGCCATAAAGCCCTAGTTTCACTCAGCACCATAGTGAGTCGAAAGCCGAGGCATGAGAGCCAATGAAGATGCAACATGAAAAGCAAAGCTTAGCCTTAGCCTAACCTGGTACTAGGCGCACTGGGGCGAGCGACAGCTTGCCACTATGTTTGCGCATGTAGTGCCAGTACCAGGCCTTGCTCCAGGACCCGATCGTGTGAAGTTGTGAGCTGGGCACATAGGGACCTGAGAGTTTTTATTGTGGGGGCTTGGGTAAGAACATCGTGGTTGCATGTTTCAGAGGTTTTAAGCCAGCGGTCAGAGAGTGATGAAATAGCTTTGATGCTTTGAAGGCTTGGGTTGTACTTGAGAACCGGTTCTGATTACAGGGTGCAAGTTGCTGGCTGCGAGCCGCGTGATGAAACTATCTTACATCTCTACGTTAAGTCGTCCTTGCGCCCAGAAGGTCAACTTGTCCATGGACATCAGACGCACCACTGGAGCTCCTAACCTCCCAACTGTTCACTTAAACCCACGCTTGCATGTGTAAGGAATTCGGAATCCTCAAGCACATGAGCTGTAATTCGTCAAAACCAGTTAGGAGATGCGACGGCAGGACAGGTGTGCTGCCCTGGCAGGCAAGTGGCTGCTGTGGCTGCTTCTAGGCCACTCGATTCAATTCAGGGTTCAAACGCAGGGCTGAAACGAGGTCCTTGTGAATTAGAAAATTGAAATGCTCTGGCCTGAGTGTGAACCGTCAGGTTTCAATCAGAAAACGACAGAAAACGACACGGGTCATGAACCAGAAAAGGCCCCGGCCAGGGCCTGAAAGCCTGAAGGCCTGCAACAGAAACCGCTTCCAAGTTGTTCTACGTGAGGCATTACATGTTGAGGTGCGTCCAAACCTGCACAACTACACCCCGACTTCCCAAAACTCAATGTGCAGACCAGAGCCGAACAGCCTTGGCTTAGGGTTTAGGGTTTCGGGTTTAGGGTTTAGGGTTTAGGGTTTAGGGTTTAGGGTCTAGGGTTTAGGGTTTAGGGTTTAGGGTCTAGGGTCTAGGGTCTAGGGTTTAGGGTTTAGGGTCTAGGGTCTAGGGTTTAGGGTGTGCGTGCCAAGAACGACAGCGCCGCCCCACTTGCATCTGTCCTTGCTGGCGGCGCCGGCGGCATTTCCCTGGATGTCCTTGCAGGGATGGCCGGACACCAGCGATGCAGGGGAGATTGCAACATTCCGGGTGCATGGGGCTGGTGGAGAGTTAGGGGTTGGGGTTTGCAGGTTTGAGGTCTAGGATTGTAGAGCTCATGGCATAAGGGTGTGTCCTGGTTCAATGCATGCCTGCAGCGTTGGCTGGGCATCTCGGAATGTTAAACTTCGCCGTTCTCTTTACCCTTGCTGGTGCAATCAGACACATATGGATGCAAGGCCAAGCGAATCTGACCATCTCGTCACAGGGACCGAACAGCAACCCAAACAGAAACGGAAGCCCAAAACCTAACCCTGAACCCTGAACCCATCTGGCCGGAAGGGAGGCGAGGGGTTTCCCGATTATACCCTGCGAGCAACATACGAGCAAAACGTTTACAGTTGGTCATCCCAATTGCCCTTCTTCCTCTGCACAGACACCTAAAGCACTATACTCTGCGTATCCTCCCTGGCTGAACCTGTACTGAGAGACCCTTATTCCCCGTACCTAAGCCCGAAGCATACAGACAGACTTCCCACCCCTATGCCACAAGACTTTCAGATCCTCTCGCTTACCTTGAGAACCTGAGCTTGGCACAGACAAAGCCGGTTGAGGGGTTGACCAGTTAAGGTTTGTTTCTAGAGATGTGGAGGTCTCTCATCGTTCTTGTCTTTGGTTGAGGGTTGATGTACATGGTTTGAGGATGTCAGGGCTTCTAGTCCTAAAAACTTAGACGTTAGGGATGTAGAGTTTGTTTTTGGTCTTGTGGTTCATGGGCTCGCTTGTTAGTGGCTTAGGACTTCAGCAGCGCGGTTCGGGCAAATTGCAGTGCACTCCCTCCTAAAGCAAAAGCGTCACGGTTCGGGGTTCTCGCCCACGTGGCACTTTACGAAAGTTTTCAAGTACGTGCATCGCGGTTTCTTTCGGCGATGTCCGCACTTCCACCCTTGCTGGCTATTCTTTGCACTTACGCAGCCTTGCAAAGGAGCTTCTTCGGTGTGCAGAGCAGAAGGAGCTTGAATTCCTGGAGCCGCCAGTCTTCACGAGGACGAAGATGTCGTTTGACAAGCAGGTTTTGAAGGGTGCATTGCATTTTCGAAGATAGGATAACAACTCCACCCTGGTCCGCAGCGCGCAGACGAATCCCCCATGAACCAAGACTCCTAAGCCTCTGAAGCCTAGACACTACCGTCAGGACGGACATAACCTTTAGCATGTCTCCGAAGCAGTTGTTTGGTCTTGATTCGCTGTGCTTTTTGTCGTTGGACTGGGTGAAGCTGCATTCCTTGGTGCAAAGCACCCATTGTCGACCATCTTTTACCGTGCCTTGCAGCACGTCCCCGATTGTCCAGTGGATGGAGACAACTGCGGCCCGTAGCTGCTCGTCTCCCTTGGGGCGGTCCCCTGAGTTTTCGAGAAATTTTCAGTTGTTTTGGGTGCATCGTCCTGCATGCCCCAGGCCCATGGTCGCTTCGATGGCTCCACGTCTCCCATGACAAAACCAACCCCCCCCCCCCCCCCCCCCCACATCTTGGGGAATTTCACCTCCGAAGCCTATCCAACACCTCGCCGAAGTCGGCGGAGGACACCGGCATGCAAGCAAATCCAGAAACGCATTATCCGCTTTGGTGACGGACTGTTGCTTGGCTCTCGCCTTCACGAGATTCGGCGGATTGCTTTGAGGGAAACCTGGGAAACCCTGCCGTGGAAACGACGAGTTGATCTGAGACAGCGAGAAATGTGCCTTCGAGAACTCGAGACGTTTGCCACAATAGAGCACGTTCTGAAAATGACAGACTCATGGAGACACCTTTTCCGAGTGTTACGATAGTTGCGACATTCCCTTGCTCTGTGCGCAGTATCCATTCAGGCTGTTCGTTCGTGCTTTGGTCGCTCAAGGGCCTTGAAATTCGTGGTGCCGACGGTTCGGCTACAGGCCTACTCAACAAAGATTTCCTCGCATCACTCTTTTGGCCGTGCCCTTTCCCTTGGGCCACCTGTACTCTGTAACAGTGTGCTCTGTTCAAGCTGCAAGTGGTCAGCTTGAAACCCGAGTCGCGTAGAATTATATGCAAGACGAGACGCCGCTCGCCACGATATGCAAAGCACGGGTGAAAAGGAAATGTTCAGCACATTTCAGTAACAATCGTGGTTGGCTGTTCGTGCGTTGCTCGGTTACTCCTTGAGAGCTGTGTTGCCGAGGATTCGGCCCAAGGCCCACTCAATGAAGACTGCCTGTCATGACACTCACCACCTTCCCTCCTTCCCCCTTACGTTGGCCACCCGGGCGCAGCCCTCTATGACCGTAAGCCTGCAGCGCCCAGATGCCAAAAAACTTTGGGGCAACAGAATTTTTGTACTTGCCCATTGGGTGGGCATTGAACAACGTACTGCAGTTCCAAAAGGAACAACGCGAGAGAGACTCGACAAGCATGCAAGTGAAAATGCAAAGCTTGGTGAAAGCCACAATGCAACCGGTTTCTCTGAGTACTCTTGCCAACCTTCACAACACGGCTCAGTCCCTGCACATTCTCTCAACTGTTAGGCACGCCCCCATCATTGCACACCAAAGCCGAGCCTGTAGCGCATGAGACTTGGGAGCCTTACGAAAATAGAGACCCGAAAATAGCCTCCCCCTAATACCCCAATAAGGTACCTCTTTTCGGAAACCCCCACTTGAAGGTTGTTTTGGAACCCGAAGGGTCTCTTGCAACCTTGGCAATGCGGTGCCAGGAGCCTTGACCCTACGCCTGGCAGCGAAGAGCGCTGAATGCTGTTCATGCTCCCGCGACTGGCATCTGGTGAAAAGTCCAAGCCTGCAGGGTTGCGTTTAGTAAGAAATCAAGGCCTAAGCCCCGAGGCCGAGTTGCCCAACGCAAACTGAATGCAATGGGCAGTTTCGGCTCGCAGCTGGATTGTTGAAGAGCGCCCACGACAGACGACGGGACAACGTCTTGCACAGTGCAAAATACCTGCCACGAAGGCTACGTCGTGCAACCGCCAGCCTTAATATGATTTGTGACCCAAGGCCTTACATTTGATACACCGCATACCCTAAACTCACTCTCAGCCTGCAGCCTGAACCCATCTGCACTCTCCCTAAGCTGAAGAGCACGGACTTCTAGAGGCTGAGGGTTCTTCCCAGCACCCCTTCCGGTCCGCGTGATGAGTCCCCCAAGGCGCAGCTTTTTGGTGCAAGAGTTGGATCGGTCGGAGCTAGGTGAGCTTCGGTGAGCTGAGGCTTCAGGATGGGTCGGTCGATACATGCAGTGCTCATACTGAAAGTTTGAATGAATACCCCTCTTAGAACGGGCCAACCTCCCTAGGCCCGTTGCCGTGTCCTCCCACCGACAGGCAAGAGATGGGGCTCGCACACTACGAGGCCCTCCTCGGCCATCCGCAGGCTGTCGTGGCATGTGGTGTTGCTACAAGGAAGAGGTTGGGATGTTCCTCACCCTTGTACTAACAGTCCTTAATGGCGATTGTAGTACCCCCGATCATAGTCCCTAGGACAAGTTTTCTGCTTGCAGAATTCGGGGTGCAGGGGAGGGCGCGGTCTGGAATAGTGTCAGGGTGTGGTCTGCCTTGGGATGCACGCCTGGAGCGAGAGAAGCTGTTGCGCGGCGTCGGGCCAAAATTGCGGGTACGGGCCTAATCTTTGCATTTCAGAGGACCGCCTGGGAGCCGGTTTGTGCTGGGGCCTTGTTGGGGGCATGTTGCTTGCGAGACTCGGCTGTGCTTGAACTCCTTCACGAGTCGGAAGCCCCGAAAGCTCCGCAGAGCCTTTGGGGGGGGGGGGGGCTATTCTTACGCTGCGGGGCTCTTGGAAGACCTTGACGATCATCCAATTTTTTATGGTCAGCGAAAGAAGGAGCTCCCGGCTTTTCTTGGTCCTGCCCAAATTCCGGAGCCCAGATCATCCCGAACCCTAAACCCTGAACCCGAAACCCTAAACCCTAAGCGCTTTGAAGGTGGTCTCTCTCTCTCTCTTGAAGGTGGTCTCAGGTGCTTGCAATCGAAGGCCCTTGCTTAAACATGCGAAGCCGCAGACCCGAAGTGTAGATGTTGCCCCAAAAGCCATCTCACCTCGGCCGCAGGCGCAATGCGCACCCACGCAGAACCTCCAGAACCTTGACGAGTTATCGCAGCGCTTCACACAGGACCGGCAGTTGTGGTTTGGTCGTCTGCGAAGCCTTTGCCAACATCCAGCCGGTCAGCTGACCAAACGCGAAAGTGCCGCGCGGGGTGTTTTACAAATCGGCCTCACGTGCAAGGTGTGTTGGTAAGATGCCACGCAGTATGGTTGATGGTTCAGGGCCCCGGGAAAAAGGGAGAAAGGGAAGCTGGGGGCAGCCTGGTGTTGTAAGGACATACGAAATTCGGCAGTGGTTCGGTTTGCACAGCCCTCGAGCCTAACGCCCCAGCCCCACAGGCGTACAACAAGAGAGAAGGGCATCAAGCCTCAACAGAAAAGGGACGTTTTTTGCCAAGTAGCGTGTCGGTTCCTACAAAGCAAGACAGCAAGATTTATAGGGTTCTTCAGGGAGGGGGGGTTCAAGGGGGGTATGTGAACACCCGAAAAGATGATTCCACGCGTTGTCCTGCGCATGTGTTGCGGGATGTGGCGCCATGCCATAAGCTCCCCAAGGTGAGCCCTTGTGTGAAGTGGGTGTGCGAACGAAACGGCCCGACGATTCAGTCCAATCTGGAACGATATCCCCTTAAAGATGCACCCTGCACCAACTCTCATGTGGAGCTTTGATTGGAACTGAATAGCAAGGCAGCGCTCTTGCCCCCCTGAATCAAGTTTGGGAGAAGAAGCTGCTGTTTTCGGCCGGATGACCCCACCGGCCTCCTCTGGGCTTCTTCTGGGCCTCCTTCATGTAAGAGAAGCCTTCAAGACTTCAATCCTAGAAGCTCTGATGCTTCGGAGATTTGGGCCGCTGCCTTGAAGGCTGAAGGTTTTAGGCTGCAGATCCTGGGGCATGAAGCAGCTTCCAGGTTCATGCCAGGATGGGCTATTCAACTATTCTAATACCATATGATCCCTTAAACGGCCCTTTATAGGGTTCATTATAGGGATTATAAGGCCTACTAGCCCACCC